TTTTTTTTCCCTATTTTCTTTGATTTCACCCTTATCCCCCCAACCAAAAATTAGATTTTTTTCGTTTTTTTTTGCCTGATGGGGTGTGGCTGGGGTTGCGCCGCCACGTGGAGCTTCCCGTTTCCCAAACCCCCTTCCCCAGCGGCCGCCACGCGTCCGCGAAGACGCGCGTCCGCGGGGTCGTGGACTCGGCCGTGGCCGCGGACTTGGCCGCGCCTGTCCGCCGCCGAGGGGGATTCATAGTTTTCCGTTACCTGAATCGTCTGGTCGTCCTCGCAACCCTTTTACGATGGACATTCCTTGAACAGTCCGGAGTCAGCGACGTGCTTCTTGCTTCCATCCCACAACTCGGCATAAAATCCAAGCCTCTCCAACTCTTTCAAGATTGTCCTCTTTTTTTTCAGGAAGGGGTACTTTAGATTCCACTCTGAATCGGGCCTCTTTTCGTACTTGAACTGGTAATAATTCCACAACCGCACCAGCACGTAGTTGCACTTCACCAAGTGCACAATTTCCAACACACCCAACTTCCCTTGCTTCGTCAATGAACTTGAGCCCCCCTGAACCCAAACAACCTCACAATTGATGACCTTCCTCATTGTCAATGAGGGATTCCATCACTTTCCAACAATGTGTGTTGGACTCAGCGACTTGCACGAATCGGTCCCATACCTCTTTCTCGTTTTTACCTTTCCTAACCGGTGCATCGATAAGGACGTTGCAAACGACCTCGTTCCCGACCAACTTGTCCTGGTCAATGTAGGTGACGCTCGACTTAACGTCTTTGACCTTCTTTTTCTTCATGATCCTTTTTGCTCTGTCGTGGGCCAGTAGTTTCCCCGTCTCCGATTTCTCAAAAAATTCAATAACGAGTTTACAAACATTTTTTCCAGCCATTGCTAGTGGGAAATAGGCACGCAGGGCAGCATTCTGTTTCTTCGTGGCGTCCTCGCCAGTTTGATCTGTGAGATTCCACAAGTTGCTGTAAGGTGTCTTATGGAGCACAACCATACAAAAGTTACGCCATTTTTCGATCTGGGCCTGTTTCCAGCTGGGGTTCTCGATAACAACTTTCGGGCAACCGTCGTAAAACCACTGCCACCGAATGTCCTTCATCGCGAGTTTCAACTGTCTGAGAAGCGCCTTGAGGTCCTCCTTATTGTCTTCGGAACAGACAAGGAAATAGCGTTCGAAGTCCTCAACTGAAAAGTAAACCACACGTGCGAGCCAACGCTCGAAGTTGTACTTTTTCGCCACTTCAGTGTCGAGTAGCGACCTGGCTGCAGTTGCGTTGTGCTGCCCACAAACCACGTAGTAGTAGTATCGGCCAACCAGATCATCCTTTTAGTCCTTTGGCTTCAGGCGTTCAGCCCACACCCCTGACTTCGGTTTTTGGAGCCCCAGCAGCGCCAGCTTAAGGGTAGCCAACTCATAGAACTTCTCGTTGTTCGAGACTGCCAGCAACATCACTTCTTTGATCTTCTCTGTGTAGACGGGATCCAAGGGCTGCTGGTTGTACTGACTCCCCCACTCACCGATGTCAACGACCTGCGCTAAGTTAATGTTGAACTCCCGCTTTGTCCGCACGCCATCCTTATACTCTAGGAAGTACACGGCGTCAACGTCAACGGGAGCCTGCGGTGCGGCAGACCCCGACTCAGGATGCTTTTGTTTCGAAGTCGGGCATTTATGACCCGAGCTGCCCTCCTAGCCCCCAAGTTCCTTACTTTTCCTCC